TACATGTAACCATATGCTAGATTTGAACTCAACACTTATCAACTTGTTGCCTTCATTTAAATGCATAGGTAAGGTTAAATGATATAGTCAACAAATATTTTGTATAAAATGCATTTTTTAACTTGTTAAATTTCACTGTTGATGTAAATCCCTATGACTGCTCAATCTGTGCTTACAAGCAAATAGGTTTATTTGTTTAACGGAATATAGTCCAACTCTTGTTAGGATACGCAAACCAGGAAAATAATTAAATCCCTTATTTTAGAAAAGACCGTCTCACCGTTTAGGAGTCTTGTAGACTGTACTGCGGAGTAGTTTATGTGTCAGAGGAATAAGTCGGTAATTATATTAATTGAACACTGACAGAACCTTTTACTGTTCTACTTATATCCCTACATGAACCGTCTAGAAGACACGTGGAAATGCTTCCTTTGGCTGAGTAAAGAACATATTGCTTTCATACATTCGCAGGTTATTACCAAAAACCGTTGACGACGCGTTTCCTTTTTTGGCCTTTCATTTCGATGCAACATGCATGAAATGACAATATTCGGTTCCAAGGGTCAACCGTCGGTGGGCGTGGGAACACTGCCGTTCCTAACAAACTCTCGCGAGACCTCGTACGTGGTTTTACATCACGCTACGTCATGTCTAAGTTGATGCTCTCGTCTTGACTGAACAAAAGCGATAATCACGGGACTGATACGCTTTAAGTAAATAACTTGAGTGATTGATTTCAAGTTGAGATTAAATGTATCTTGCCATCTATAATCACTGAAAAATGAAAATCAAGTGATGTTGAGGGGGACAAGGGGTCCTTGTAAGAAGGAGGGGTGGAGCCGTAAATGGATTTTCATATCTTCAGAAATAAAAATTATGCCGGGGAAACAGCGAGCAAAGTTCAGTATTGTCTTTTGAAAAATTGGGAAAGATCCCAAGCAGCAATAAAAAGTTCTTTTTTCTATTCGAAAAAGAAAAATAATATACGGACTATTTACTGACTTTGTACTATACTAGTACCATAAAATGACGAAATAAGACAAAGCGTGAATAAATAAAATATTGAAATATGAATCAGCGTTTTCTTCTGTTTGACTGGCAAAGAGCTATTGTGGATATCTTCATTATGGAGTCAATTGTTATGGCAAAAATTAACTTAACAAGATAAAAGTAATCGTTGATGGTATCTTCCCAGTAGGCTGAAGAAAACTCGCGCGCAGCACGCGACCAAATTCTGACAACAGAAAAGGTGATACATGAAAAAACCTTTTATGATTTCGAAGTTGTTAAACAGGTTTTCCAAGATACGTGTAGCAAAAATAGTGCAGGGAATTTGATCACTTCAGAAGAAACTTATTATTCGAATCCCTGGCTTTAGTATCCGAGAAGTTCCTCCCAAACCCCACAATACAGTAAAAATAAACCAGTACAAAAACTATTTATTAACTTTCTATCTTTAGATAATGAAGAATTCCGCATACCACCAGCGATGAGCGTGCAGCGTGTCTGCATGGATTACGCCGGATCCCCGTTAATTATAACCGAAACACGTCACATGCACCACATGTATTGAGGTGCTCAGGCACACCCCTTACTGTGGCAAACGAGGCACGTGGCGTTAAGTACTGTACCGCATAAACTGGGCGGTCACAAGATGCACACGTACACGTGTATTTAGCGTAAGAATGCGATTCAGAAACATTATTAAAATCTCTCATTAGAACTCTCATTATATGATGAGTCACAGTCAAGTTACCTTTTCGTGTTGCAATAAGAAAAAGGCCAGTGAAGTAGCGGAGGAGGTGAAAATAACTCAACTGCTTAGAATGATAAAACCCGCTGTACTCGCCGTGATTACCATTCACACTTTCCATCTCGTGTTCCAAAGTTCTTCTGCGTATTTGTCTTGTCATTGTTCCATCGAACCTAATCCATGACAAAGGTAAATTGAAGCAAAAGAATATTTACGGGCAACTGAAGAAAACGGCAAAATTTTCGTAAACGGCATACTACGTTTTCTGCATTTAAAGAGTGTCCATCTCTCACTGAGCCAACAGATAAAAGGTTTAAGTTATGCCAAACGCCTGTGTCGTGCAAAGGAAGTATACGAAAAACGATTCTCGTCCACCCCCGTCCACAGACATCAAAACAGCAGACACATTCTAGAATGTGAGTCGACTTTTAATGCTATAAAAAAAGAAAAAGTGAACTGAAATATTCATAAGTGTTATATAACTTGAATGTACCATGATTAAAATTTTTTGATCTTCAGAAATCGCAAGTGTGAAACAAAATCTAAATTCAGAATCGCGAAAATGGTGGTTATTCAAAGTGTCTCGAACAACAATAAATATATAAACAGTAAAATGCGTTTACTTACTTGTGAAACTGACACTTGTAAAAGAAGAAAATACATCGAAGGCGCGATCAAAATCAGTTTTCGCCGAGTTAATCGCGGCTTAATCCTTCCCTATTCTTTCAATCTTAACCCGTGAAAGAGACTACTTTAATGTTTTTCGTTATTGTTGTATTTAATTGAATTTACCATTACTATATGTTAACTGCACCTGTCAGTCCGTTAATGCAGTTTTAGCATGCAATTTGGAAATAGGTATAATTCTTTTATTCATTTCAGTCGCACCATATATAATGTTTTACTAGAAATTTATATCAATCATTTCCAATATGACGACAACTGTTTTAATATATGTTGAGGTAAAGTGTGGCATGAAAAGCGAGAAATTCAACAATACAGCATTATTGTAGTTTTTCCTCAACTTGACTAAAGCATGAAAACCGAATATTCATTATACTTCACTAAAGGGCTCATTCCCATTTAAACTATCGGTCTACATAGATCGATCACAGATGAACACGCCTCACCTTGTTTTTACAGCGTACACGTATAATCACTACCCTCTACCAGGACCACAGATTTTTTTTACTAGGTATTTTAATACTATTAATTATAACTATTAATAATAAGAAGTAATAATAATAATATGTTAAAACAGATATGTCTCTGGTTAAATAGACGGCAATTCTCTGTACTGTGCAAAAAATGTCCACAGAATAATAACTGCGGCCCTGGTAGAGGGTATATAATCACCAACTTTTCTGTATTCTACTCAACCCAAGGAGGAAGCATATCACGCTAATCTGTTAAACTGACTGTACACAGCGAGAGTCCCCGCGGAATTGGATTAGTCTACTTAGAACGATAGTTTCAATGGGTCTGAACCCTAAGAATGGCACGAACAGGTAGACAGTCAACAAAGCCCTTCAGAAGTGAGCCAAGACTGATGCACCAACGCGGCACCACCAATGCCCACTCTGTATTTGGAGACGTTCTATTATATATTTTCCCTTATAAGACATGACTAACATATGAAAACCAGATGTTCATTATTGTGTCACAAGACTCCCTCAAGGTGACCGTTAAAGTACTTATTTAAAAAAAAACAAGAAATAAAAAAATGGAGCCTTCTCAGTTGGGCAATGATTTCATTAAAAGTTATTTCATGTCGACATTCCTGTTATTATTATTATTATTATTATTATTATTATTATTATTATTATTATTATTATTATTATTATTAGTGTGTGTGTGTGTGTGTGTGTGTGTGTGTGTGTGTGTTGGACGATCATCAGCTTTATATTAGAAATCTTTTAGGGTCTTTTGGAGTCATCGTTTTTATCGTTGTTTGTGTAATTGTTGGCAGACATTGATTGCTAGTTGTGACTGGTTTGAGACAGGTGACAGTAGTCAAATACCTAGATACACCTAATGTTTACGCGCTAGAATATTGGCCATGAATACTCAATCAAATATTAATTACTGATATTTTAATTTTTGAATTTGGCATTATACTTATGTGCATGAGCACCAGTTAAATTTTTTATATTTCTTCATGAATGCAGCGCCCTTTAGTACCCAGAGCATCTCAGATAGGATATACAATCCGCTATTTTGGGTTGACATAGTAACCTCAGAAACGCTAGTATTACGTCTCCCGGGACACCATTGGACCATTGTGGAAAATCTATGAATAACTGTATTCACATTTCATAAGTTTAATCATTCATATGCTGTGAGAGCGGTTTTGTGATATCTTTTTGGCGTATTTACCTCACTATAAGTTATTTTTAGGATCTATTTTTTTTTTTACGAATTTCTTACTTTTTGAACACATCTGCATAGTTCAATAAATTCACTTCGAGGATAACTTAAAGGGATAATAACTCTTCGTATGAGATCTATATTTCACAATAAAAACATTGTGAATAACTCATACAAATATAATATATTCTGTTTTACCACAAAAACGGCAGTTATAGCTATTATTCTGATATCTGAGCTTGTCTTTAGACCACGTGACCTCCACTGATGGCTATACTCTGCTAAAATCTCTTAAGAGATTTTAACAAAAAAACAAACTTTTTAGAAAAAAACCAGGGACTAACTTTGAATGTAAAAATGGATTCATTAACCATTGGTAAGTATGGGAAAATTGTTGTTTACTCCAGGAAAATTCATTTTTTGGCCGAAACGAGAGTTATTATCACTTTAACTGAATAAGTCAAAATATCTAAAATGTCTTATCACATGACGACCTTCAGGAATTTTAGTGCATTCAATTTTCTTTCCAGACAAACGAACTTAGAACGCATTGCAGGAAGTACCTCAGTACGCACGCGCATTTGTATTGGCACCTGAACGCTCAGAAAACAACCCGATCCCTGTATTTGGAAACTATTATGCCGTCCAAATTTTTAAATTCTGTCTCAATAATTTCGTCGAAACTAAATTTAGAGGGAAAAAGGGAAAAGGGGAGTTCATTGCTGTTTTTCTTTGTTTAGCCACAAAGTTAAGTGTACCATTTTCAAGTAAATTCACGCTGTTTTTGTCACATACTTTCCAACAATCTATATCTATATCAATAATTCATTAGGTATTCAAATGAACAAAGTCAGATGTATATATTTTTATATTTTTTATATTTATTACAATTGTAATCACAGTACACATCACACAGAATATCAGCAAACGACGGAATATCGTTAATAATTGCGAGCGTTCTACGACGAGGGTGGTCGCGTCGTCTGTGAGGTTACCTTCACCACTCTACATGCTGCATCTGAAAGAGGATAGAAGCATAATTAAAATCCTGAGAGTTGAAAATGTTTTTGTGCCATCCTCTCAGTATTGCGACACTAGTATCACACCCATTGACGAAACCGCCCTCCTTGTCAAGATCTCCATTTGTACGCAGTATTGATAATTTCGTTCCATTTCTTAATTAAAAGATGACTGAATTAATACCTCTGACTCTCATTCTTCAGTTCGTTCTTATCTCATTTATGTACTTAATCTATTAAAGTCAAATACCAGAATTTAACATAGTGAGTGGAAGAAATAACTTTAGAAACTATAGATGAATACAGATGATTACCGTTTAATAAACATTCTTTCCGTAACCACCGTATCCGTAATCAAGGTCAGCGTAACCATAGCCTGGAGCCTTGACGACAGCGGCGGCTCTGGCGGCAGCAGCGGCTCTGGCAGCAGCGGCGGCTCTGGCGGCAGCAGCGGCTTGGGCAGCAGCAGCGGCTCTGGCTCTGGCAGCAGCAGCCTGTCTGGCGGCCTCGATGGCGGCTCTAGCTCTAGCGGCTCTAGCGTCGACGGTAGCGCTAACTCTGACAGCACGGTCGGCAGCAACAGCGGCGGCACCAGCGGCACCATCGGCAACATTGTCAGCACGGACAGCGCTGGCTGTCTTGACAGCGGCATGGGCATCAGCGGCGTTGGAGGCACCAGCAGCGGCGTTGGCAGCAGCACGGGCACGAGCAGCGGCAGCGGCAGCAGCAGCGGCATCAGCGGCAGCCTCGTTGGCCTCGGCACGGGCAGCAGCGGCAGCGTGGGCAGCAGCCTGAGCAAAAGCTTCCTTGTCGTTGGCGTCGGCTCTGGCAGCAGCAGCAGCAGCGGTAGCAGCAGCAGCAACGTTGGCACGGTCGGCAGCAACACCTCTAGCGGCGCCAGCGGCAGCAGCAGCATTGGCAGCGTAAGCAGCATCGGCGTTGGCAGCATTTCTAGCGTTACCGGCGGCGGCACCAGCAGCGGCAGCACGGTTGGCGGCGGCTACTCTAACAGCAGCAGCGCTAAAGTATAATATGTCAATATGTTAAAAATAGAACTTGATATCCCTCAACTGAGAAAAATAAAGAAGAACAACAAAGATAACTAAAATGCACATTTTCAAAGGCCTATTGACCAATCGCATAAAATAAAATAAAATAGGTTTGCTAAAACAAACGAAATCTTGACCGATCAGATATTAGCTGTAAGGAAAAAAATTCAATTTATTGTTGCTTTGTATTTAAAATAAATTCAAAAAGATAAAAATAAAATAAAAAAGTCAGAGTATAAAATCTGCATGCTTACTTGGCGATGGCACCACGGTAGTTATAGTGTCCATAATCGTAACCATAACGTCCCTTTCCAACAGCAGCGGCAGCAGCCACGCAAAGAGCAAGAATGATGAACTTCATATTTGAGGCTTTGAGGTCAGATCCGAGCCGAGAAATCAAGGATAGTAAGGTGGACACACAGGTCAACCTTTTATAGGAGAGGTTTCGTACTTGGAACCGCCCTCATGCGTCCAATTTCCATCAATAAAAGTGACTGACGGCTTCAAAGTGAAAGGGAAGCCCAGAATTATCCTCAGTTGGTGTCAGGAAGGCATTTAAAAACGAGGCTACATCTGCAAGGTGGTGACATGCGACTCGGGAGATTTGCTGGACTTTGTGTAAAATCACCGTATCTGAAAAAAATTTTCAGTTTCTCTGCAAAACTACATTTCATGGTCAAAACAATCGTTTTTGCGCACGTATGATGGTTCGTTTGGGCATTAGGAGCTTCTTACTGAAAATATAATTTGATGACTGTTGATTTTACGTGTTGGTAGCTTTGGTTGAAGCCCCTCCCCGAGGCTATCTTGGCCGCAGATGGCTAAGAGCAATGGAAATTCGGTATAATGACCTTCGTCTCGGGAATTTCGTATTAAGCAATGATTGTCAACTGGCAAAATACATTATCATAAGATAAATGCCCTTTGCAAGTATGTATTTGGTGGCGTGATGAAGCAAAGAAGAAAGTCAGTAAGCAGCAGCAGGCGATGATAATTACGTATGACTTTTCTCAAATTTACCAAACAAAGATGCCACGCATGTTTTTTGATATAATCATTTGGGTAAAAAACGATTTGTTTTTATTTTTGTTAGGCAAAGACATCTTTTTCGCATGGGCTATGGACATGCAAAATGAAGTGAGTTTTCCTCCTTTTTTCCCAAAGAGAGTGAAACTACAAAATTTTGCTTAGCATCTGTGACGTGTCTTATTTATGAAAGATGATGATGTTGACGGTGGTTATTCAAGACAAACAGTCAGCCTTTTCACTCGTTTGTTCAGATAAGCTCATATGTTTTTTTATTTTATCATAATAAGGTACGCTTACCTTAAGTAGTACTTTCAGCTTTAATGGGGTTACAACCTACATGTATTGGACAATAGAACTTCTGTCCATTTCACTAACAAAGGTAATCAGGCGGGTCCTATTGTTTTTATCTTTTTTATGAGTATTCGTTGTAAAAAAACGTGTTTACTCACGAAACTGTCACTGTCAGTAAGTGACCTGTCGGTTTGGTTATCATCTTAACTGCTTGTAAGTATAATAAAATTGTATGTAATGCTTCTCATCGTGATTGAGATTTATGTATTGCTTGACCATTTTGGTTCTAACAATCGACATTTTAGAACACACGGTATTGGTGAACAATGTGCTCTATAAATGCACGCTTGCAGATTTTTTACAAGTGCTAACAAAAATTTTTATCAATAGGCAGAATCCTAATGTTTAAAAGGCAGTGTGCGTGATCACCCAGTCTGGAATGGTCCCAGTTTTGGTAAATAAGGTGCACCGGTGTCCAGTAAATGCAAAGAACGCAAGTAAAGGTCCCCTTGGAGAAGTAATAAAGATGCAAACATGAGAAGATTTATATCAATGTGATGTATCTAAGTTTAAAACTCGATTGAGTGACGGTCAGAAAATTTGTTACATGTCCTTTATTTTGCGAGACCATCTCCAGGGTTTTAAGCTCCCCTACCCTTCCCCGTTTCTTGGAGGCATATTTCAGAACAATCCTAAACCTTTCACGTATCTTATATAGAAAGGATCTAGTATAAAAGAGATTCACCTTCTTTTAATATGGAACTTTGGACACACACACACACAGACACACACACACACACACACACATGCAAGCACGCTCACTCACTCTCTCTCACACACACGCACACACATTCTCTATCTCCCTTTCTCTCTCTCTCTCACACACACACTACACCCACAAGGTCATTTCGTGAAACCACTCTCGAAACAGCTTGTTAACCTCTTTGATTTTCGTAACTATGACATGTTGTTATCCTGATCATATGAATGATTATCCTAAAACCAGGTGCTCCGCACTTCATCTCGATTTCTCTCTGCACGCCATGTTCGCTAGAACTGGCTGACTCTTTTAACAAAGTTAAGTAACTGCGTAGCGTGGGTTACATAACTGGAAATTTATTTACAAAGTCATACTCTTGATTCACCTTTCCCTTATGGATGTCAGCAGGGAAGTAGAATTACAGATTTGTTTTTTTAATGCTCCGGCTCCGGTGACAGGTGTGGTGTGTATGACAAAAACACGATGAAAATAGTTTTAAATCGTGTGATTTCTAAACAACAAATTTAATTTCTTTTTAATTTTAGAAATTAACAATACAAACAATACATTTAAATACTACTTCCATTCGCACGTAGGCACATCCATTAATTAGTTTTCAGGGTACCTATTCTGTCCTTCAGAACCAAGTTTCAGCCAGCTTTATAATTTACTCCCTTTTTTATTGATCTGCTCAATCTCGATCACGTTCAAAAACGTCTTCCACAAGGTAGTACCCATTTTCTTGTAAATCGATACTTTGACCCTCGTTCCTACAGCGGAGATGAACGAACGATGGCGGAGGACTTGTCGCAACAAACACAATGCCGCAAGAAGTTTGGCACAGCAACTTGGCGCAACTAATGCAACGCTGTTAAATGACTGTAGAGACTACTTTTGTAGGCATTTCATTTTAATTTTGTGTTCAAGTTTGAAGGCTAACAGATTGTAGTTGTAATAAAGGGATAGTACATAGGCATGTACAGACAGACCAAATATGTTATACATTTGAGACAAAAGAAAAATGATCTGTAAAGTACTTGGTGTAGGCAAGGAGTTATAACAGATAACTCCTTGGTGTAGGTCACTCAGACACATATTGTAAGTGACACATTCAAACAAGAGTATAATTTCATAATAACAAGAAAGGACAGAGAAGAATTTCATCAGCTGTGTTAAGTTATAAGAATGATGTGATTTTTTCTTCAGTCAACAGCTAATATTGAGATAGTTTTGACTCCAATATTTCGCTGTCTATCACATTCAGGACATCTTCAGGGAATGAGGCTATCCAGGTGAATATAGCCTCTATTCAGGAGATATACTTGCACCCCCTCCACCTATTGTCTCAGGAAAGGGAGGTAGAGGTCAGGAAGGATGGCACCATCATTTCTGTTGAGACTGGCCTGGAATTGGGGGCTTTAATGAAGTGATCCTGGCACGTTTACACATTTTTTATGAATGACAGGTGTGGCAGATTGATTTTCATCACGTTTGGAAAAAATCGGAGACGGGTCGTTTCTGGGTGATTTTGAGTGATTTTCATAAGTGCCGACCGGCACTGTCAATTTTCTTCAATTTTGGCCAGATAGGGTTGAAAAATTATTTTCTTCATTATAGTGACGGGTAGGTGTGTTTGGTCATTTGTAGTCAGTATAAAGTACTGAAAGAGGGGTTTGGGCCAATTTCCTATAGAATCCTATAGGATCTTATAGGACTTTTTCGTAAGGGCAGATAGGGTTGAAAAATTTTTTTCATCATTATAGTGACTGGTAGGTGTGTTTGGTCATTTGTAGTCAGTGTAAAGTACTGGAAGAGTGGTTTTGTCAACATTAAGGGAGAAATAGAGCAAAACCCCCCCCCCTCAGATTCTGTTCTCAGAGGGTATTTTTGGATCANAGTGCCCACCGGCACTGTCAATTTTCTTCAATTTTGGCCAGATAGGGTTGAAAAAATTTTTTCTTCGTTATAGTGACCAGTAGGTGTGTTTGGTCATTTGTAGTCAGTATATTTTAAACTGACTGTCAAATACTAACCTTCACAACACACGCCACAGTATGTCATGGAGTGAAGGAGTAAAGAAAATTCTTGTAGAAAATGGGTTCGGAGACGTATGGGTCAAACAGAAAGTAGACAAAAACTTCATGAAATCTTTTAGCGTTAGACTTAGAGACAGTAGTATACAACTTTGGCATAGTGGGATATCGCAAGAAAATCTCAAATTGAGAAGGTATTAAACTTTCAAACTTCATTTTGAGAAAGAAAAATATCTTGATATAATACAAGATAAAGAAAAACGTCAAACCCTAACCAAATTCAGAATCAGCAGCCACAATTTGCACATAAAAACAGGTCGCCAAGTCAAGGGTAAACCAACACCAGTCGAAGACAGAAAATGCCAAATCTGCCACTCTGGAGTTATAGAGGATGAAGAACACTTCTTAATTACCTGCCCTCTGTATACAAACACAGAAAAGAACTCTTTAAAATAATACAAAGCAGCCACACGTGCTTTGCACATTTAAACAACAAAGATAAATTCCACTTTATAATGAATAATCCAAACGAAACAGTGATAATTTCCTTGGCCAAATTCCTTAACCTTGCTTTTAACAAAAGAAACTGTGCTACATCTTCAACTTCATGATGTCTATCAATAACTACTATAAATACGAAGATTTAGTTCACATAGTAGAAACATTGGTACATTTCTATACATGTATTTTGGTGCTATTTATCTATGTATTTTGCTATTACTATTATCATTACTATTGCTGCTATTACCTTATCTATATGTACATTTTCACCAGCTCGGTCTGGTGCAGAAAGTATGAATAAAGCATAAAAGTATAAAGTACTGGAAGAGTGGTTTTGTCAACAAAAATTTTTATCTTCATTATAGTGTAGTCAGTATAAATTTGTAGTCAGTATAAAGTACTGGAACAGTGGTTTTGTCAACATTAAGGGAGAAATAAAGTAGAATCTCTGGCCAACCCCCCCCCCCCACCCCCACCCCCACCCCCACCACCCCTGTCTCAGATTCTGTTCTCAGAGGTTATTTTTGGATCATCTTTAAAGCTGGAATTGGGATGGGATGTCTCTCTATATTCGTCTTCATACTTTCCCTTACAGCATTAATAAGGCAAGTCCAGATATTTTGTACATGTGGTCATTCCTAAAATACATTAAACATTGTCTCTTTGGCAATGTTGCAAAACTCGCAAAAAAGTTGAGATTCTTTTCTCTTCATTTTCATTAAGTATGAATATGTACTGAAAATTCAACGATTGATTCTTAATTGCAGTGTTTATAATTTTGTGTCATCCATCTCGGTAAAAACAAATCGAAATGCCATTTCTCTTCGTCTAATATTTCCACAATGTGTGTGCCATTAGTTTGATATATTGTGAATTTATGTGCATCTTTGAACAGCATGCATTACTGATGTGTTTAATTATTCATTTTTGTGTAGTGATGGTATGAGCATGGAATAATGCTACATGTAAATACTAGTTTAAATTGACAGATTCTGTAACTATTGTGTTGTTAAAAACAATCTGACCACTATTAATTATTAAGGGAACATGTCTTCTACCCTTTGTTTTATAACTGTTCCTATTCATGGCCATTATTGCATATTAATCTTTTTACTCTTCATTCATTTTTGGTATAGCTTTTCCAGGAATTTGTGAGTGGCCCTGAAAAGGGCCGTTTTGAGGTGTAAACTAGAAGTGATTTACTTGGCAGCTGCCTTGCTCTTCTTGGGCAGAAGGACAGCCTGGATGTTTGGCAGAACACCACCTTGGGCAATGGTGACACCTCCCAGCAATTTGTTCAACTCCTCGTCGTTGCGGACAGCCAACTGCAGGTGACGGGGGACAATTCTGGATTTCTTGTTGTCACGGGCAGCATTTCCCGCCAACTCGAGGACCTCAGCGGCCAGATACTCGAGGACGGCAGCCAGGTACACTGGGGCACCGGCTCCAACACGCTGGGCGTAGTTACCCTTGCGGAGCAGACGGTGGATTCTGCCCACTGGGAACTGAAGTCCAGCACGGGATGATCTGCTCTTCCCCTTTGCTCTTGCCTTTCCTCCTTTACCACGTCCAGACATCTTGTACGATTTCTTTTGATACGACAGTTGATCAAAGAATGGTGAATGTTCGTTCAAAATAGGTATTTATAGCCATCGGTGGGGATTCAGTGCTGCACGCAAATCTGTCCAATAAGACAGCGTAGTCGGAATAACTGCCAATAGGTAAAGAGAGCGCTTAACTTGCCCTCGTTCTCACTGTGCAGCATTCGAGCCTCTAATTTGCAGAAATCATATTTTGGTAACAGCAGAAAGTTACAGGGTCCATGAAATAACTATAGGTAGATATGGTTTTGCATGATACAAAACAAGTGCTTCACATCCTCCTTCCAAGAACGTAATTTTTATTAATATTGTTAAGGATATAATGAGCACGGTTTCAGAGGTGAATACCTCATGAAGGCTTGTGTTGTATTGCTCTTATTTTAATCTTAAACTTAAAAGTGACAAAAGTGACTTAACATCAGACTTAATTGATTGCAATCAGATCATTACTTTGACAGATCATTGAAGATAACGTCTGGTTTTGACACATGAACTGCTGTCAAGGACCAAATTGACAAAAGTAACATGACGTCAGACTTGATTGAAATCGTAGGACACCTTAATTGCTGCCAGCTACTTAATTGATTGCAATTAAGGACTTGAAAATAACAGCATACGCACATTGTTTTCTTTAATGATTAGACCGTTTTGGACAGTAAGTGCTTTCATGAAGTCAAATGCTACTTTGCCTCGGCTTCGACGCTGCATCTGTTGCGCTGGGAACTTCAGCCAATCCGATTGTGTATTTCACAACGTGTAGCGCTGGATCCCCTTATTTGCATACTGAATTGCATAAATACAAAACGCTCCCTTCCTCCAGCATTCAACGTTCAATTTGTACGCTAGAATACGAGAATCATGCCTCCCAAAGTGAGCTCCAAGGGCGCCAAGAAAGCCGGTAAGGCTAAGGCCGCACGTAGTGGTGACAAGAAGAGAAGGAGGAAGAGAAAGGAAAGCTACAGCATCTACATCTACAAAGTGATGAAACAGGTGCACCCTGACACCGGTATCTCCAGCAAAGCCATGAGCATCATGAACAGCTTTGTCAATGACATCTTTGAACGTATTGCCGGTGAAGCTTCCCGCCTTGCCCACTACAACAAGCGTTCTACCATCACCAGCCGAGAGGTCCAGACTGCTGTCCGTCTCTTGCTGCCTGGTGAGCTTGCCAAGCACGCTGTCAGTGAGGGCACAAAGGCCGTCACCAAGTACACCAGCTCCAAGTAAATCAACAAGTCATTGATTTGCACAAAACGGTCCTTTTCAGGACCAACCACATCTTTCCAGAAAAGCTATACCTAATGTTAATAAGAACTAACTGGAATTATCGTGTTCGCACACGTACATGAATCCCTACACTTTGACACTGAGGAATTCGTTTTGCATTCTTCTTATTTTATTTTATTTTATTTATTTATTTTTGCACACATTGCATTTTCTCTGCTGCCATTATGGCTGTGTTTCTCAACACCTAAACCACTAAGTAAATTATCTCACACCTGTTTGAAAAGTAGTAGCAATGATGAACCTCAACACACAATTTTAATTTCCAAGGCAATGAATATGAATGCTATATCTATGTGCTGCAATGTGATTTGAAATGGGACAAGAAAATTTCATGGCCCAACGTACTGACAGAGAGAGAGAAATTCCCTTGCAGTAGCATGAGCAGAGCTAGTTGATCAGACAATATTTTTCTGCTTCACCATTTAGCACAGTGCTAACTGTACTAATTCTTAGTTACTCGCCTAAAAAAAATTCTCTTTCAACTGAAATTCTATCTCTTTCTGAAGCAAGGATCACTCGTTAATTGTCATGTTTTACACTGCTGATTAGTGCACACTTTACTTTTTTATTTTCATGTAGTATGTTGACATTTGCATTTAAATTAAGTGAAATCACTGTGTATCCTGGAGTATTTATTTGATTATTTGTTAACAGCAACAAGATATTGGAGCTGCTATGGTTTTAGCAAAGCACAGCACACTAGGCTAGGCAGTAAGAAAAAAGATTTTCCTCTTCTATTTGGTCCTGTTGACATTTGCGACAGATAAAAAAATAATGTTTCCAAAAANGTGGGTTTTTTTTTTTTTTTTTTTTAATGTACCATTTCAGCACCTAATGCGCCTTTGATTCAGATTATAACAGCTCAATTAAGAAATAAAGATTGTAATACTTTGTTTAACAAAGTGTGCTGTCTAAGCTACTTCGAACACTACTTTATTATGCTTACATCAAAAATATAAATAAATGTTAAAATAAGGGATAAAATATATATCCAAGCTAAAAGTTACTGTGATGGGCTTATCCATTGTGCTATAAATATTGATTTATGACCTTGAGGGTTGAGGAGGATGAATAATAGTTTCTGATCACTGCCTGCTAATTCATAATTTTATCTCTCAGTATTTGGGAGGGAATTGAGCTTTGGCACTCTGGTACTTGCTGCAAGTGAGGAAGAAAGGTTACTTGTCCTCTGTTTTACAATGTGTGCAGGTTCTTTCTTCCAGAGGGATTTTCATGTGCCTGCCTTTCTCTTTCACCAGCTCATGGTCACTTATTCTCATTTTGGCAATGTATTTTTTGTGTAATGTTTGTTTCAATATTCTTGAATTTCAAAGATTTTTAAGTCTGATGCAGTAGTTTTGCATGGATTTAACTATATCTGTAAGGATCTGCTATCGTTTGTTATACTGGAGTAGGAGTAGGTTTTTGGAGGATTGCTTGCTTTTTTGTGCAAACATGGCCTTCATTACTTTACAATTTTCTTCAATTTTGGCTAGATAGGGTTGAAAAATTTTTTTTCTTCATTATAGTGACCGTTAGGTGTGTTTGGTCATTTGTAGTCAGTATAAAGTACTGGAAGAGTGGTTTTGTCAACAAAAAATTTTATCTTCATTATAGTGTAGTCAGTATAAATTTGTAGTCAGTATTAAGTACTGGAAGAGTGGTTTTGTCAACATTAAGGGAGAAATAAAGCAAAAACTCTGGCCAACACCCCAACACCCCACCCCACCCCACCCCTGTCTCAGTTTCTGTTCTCAGAGGTTATTTTTGGATCATCTTTAAAGCTGGAACTGGGATGGGATGTCTCTCTATATTCGTTTTCATACTTTCCCTTACAGCATTAATAAGGCAAGTCCAGATATTTTGTACATGTGGTCATTCCTAAAATACATGAAACATTGTCTCTTTGGCAATGTTGCAAAACTCGCAAAACAGTTGAGATTCTTTCTTCTTCATTTTCATTAAGTATGAATATGTACTGAAAATTCAACGATTGCAGTGTTTATAATTTTGTGTCATCCATCTCAGTAAAAACTAATCTAAATGCCATTTCTCTTCGTCTAATATTTCCACAATGTGTGTGCCATTTGTTTAATATATTGTGAATTTATGTGCATCTTTGAACAGTATGCATTACTGATGTGTTTAATTATTCATTTTTGTGTAGTGATGGTATGAGCATGGAATAATGCTACATGTAAATACTAGTTTAAATTGACAGATTATGTAACTATTGTGTTGTTAAAAACAATCTGACCACTATTAATTATTAAGGGAACGTGTCTTCTACCCTTTGTTTTATAACTATTTCTATTCATGGCCATTATTGCATATTAATCTTTTTACTCTTCCTTCATTTTTGGTATAGCTTTTCCAGGAATTTGTGAGTGGCCCTGAAAAGGGCCGTTTTGAGGTGTAAACTAGAAGTGATTTACTTGGCAGCTGCCTTGCTCTTCTTGGGCAGAAGGACAGCCTGGATGTTTGGCAGAACACCACCCTGGGCAATGGTGACACCTCCCAGCAATTTGTTCAACTCCTCATCGTTGCGGACAGCCAACTGCAGGTGACGGGGGACAATTCTGGATTTCTTGTTGTCACGGGCAGCATTTCCCGCCAACTCGAGGACCTCAGCGGCCAGATACTCGAGGACGGCAGCCAGGTACACTGGGGCACCGGCTCCAACACGCTGGGCGTAGTTACCCTTGCGGAGCAGACGGTGGATTCTGCCCACTGGGAACTGAAGTCCAGCACGGGATGATCTGCTCTTCCCCTTTGCTCTTGCCTTTCCTCCTTTACCACGTCCAGACATCTTGTACGATTTCTTTTGATACGACAGTTGATCAAAGAATGGTGAATGTTCGTTCAAAATAGGTATTTATAGCCATCGGTGGGGATTCAGTGCTGCACGCAAATCTGTCCAATAAGACAGCGTAGTCGGAATAACTGCCAATAGGTAAAGAGAGCGCTTAACTTGCCCTCGTTCTCACTGTGCAGCATTCGAGCCTCTAATTTGCAGAAATCATATTTTGGTAACAGCAGAAAGTTACAGGATCCATGAAATAACTATAGGTAGATATGGTTTTGCATGATACAAAACAAGTGCTTCACATCCTCCTTCCAAGAACGTAATTTTTATTAATATTGTTAAGGATATAATGAGCACGGTTTCAGAGGTGAATACCTCATGTAGGCTTGTGTTGTATTGCTCTTATTTTAATCTTAAACTTAAAAGTGACAAAAGTGACTTGACATCAGACTTAATTGATTGCAATCAGATCATTACTTTGACAGATCATATCCAAGATAACGTCTGGTTTTGACACATGAACTGCTGTCAAGGACTAAGTGACAAAAGTGACATGACGTCAGACTTGATTGAAATCGTAGGACACCTTATTATTGCTGCCAGTTACTTAATTGATTGCAATCAAGGACTTGAAAATAACAGCATACGCACAATGTTTTCTTTAATGATTAGACCATTTTGGACTGTAAGTGCTTTCATGAAGTCAAATGCTACTTTGCCTCGGCTTCGACGCTGCATCTGTTGCGCTGGGAACTTCAGCCAATCCGATTGTGTATTTCACAACGTGTAGCGCTGGATCCCCTTATTTGCATAACGCGTTGTATAAATACAAAACGCTCCCTTCCTGCAGTATTCAACGTTCATATTGCACGCTAGAATACAAGTACCATGCCTCCCAAAGTGAGCTCCAAGGGCGCCAAGAAAGCCGGTAAGGCTAAGGCCGCACGTAGTGGTGACAAGAAGAGAAGGAGGAAGAGAAAGGAAAGCTACAGCATCTACATCTACAAAGTGATGAAACAGGTGCACCCTGACACCGGTATCTCCAGCAAAGCCATGAGCATCATGAACAGCTTTGTCAATGACATCTTTGAACGTATTGCCGGTGAAGCTTCCCGCCTTGCCCACTACAACAAGCGTTCTACCATCACCAGCCGAGAGGTCCAGACTGCTGTCCGTCTCTTGCTGCCTGGTGAGCTTGCCAAGCACGCTGTCAGTGAGGGCACAAAGGCCGTCACCAAGTACACCAGCTCCAAGTAAATCAACAAGTCATTGATTTGCACAAAACGGTCCTTTTCAGGACCAACCACATCTTTCCAGAAAAGCTATACCAAATGTTAATAAGAACTAACTGGAATTATCGTGTTCGCACACGTACATGAATCCCTACACCTTGACACTGAGGAATTCGTTTTGCATTCTACTTATTTCATTTTATTTTATGTATTTATTTATTTATTTATTTATTTTTTGCACACATTGCATTTTCTCTGCTGCCATTATGGGTGTTTCTCAACACCTAAACCACTAAGTAAATTATCTCACACCTGTTTGAAAAGTAGAAGCAATGATGAACCTCGACACACAATTTTAATTTCCAAGGCAATAAATATGAATGCTATATCTCTCTGTGCTGCAATGTGATTTGAAATGGGACAAGAAAAATTCATGGCCCAACGTACTGACAGAGAGAGAGAAATTCCCTTGCAGTAGCATGAGCAGAGCTAGTTGATCAGACAATATTTTTCTGCTTCACCATTTAGCATAGTGCTAACTGTACTAATTCTAAGTTACTCGCCTAAAAAAGATTCTCCTTCAACTGAAATTCTATCTCTTTCTGAAGCAAGGATCACTCGTTAATATTGTCATGTATTACACTGCTGATTAATGCAGGCTTTACTTTTTTATTTTCATATAGTATGTTGACATTTGCATTTAAATTAAGTGAAATCACTGTGTATCCTGGAGTATTTATTTGATTATTTGTTAACAGCAACAAGATATTGGAGCTGCTATGGTTTTAGCAAAGCACAGCACACTAGGCTAGGCAGTAAGAAAAAAGATTTTNCTCGTTCTCACTGTGCAGCATTCGAGCCTCTAATTTGCAGAAATCATATTTTGGTAACAGCAGAAAGTTACAGGGTCCATGAAATAACTATAGGTAGATATGGTTTTGCATGATACAAAACAAGTGCTTCACATCCTCCTTCCAAGAACGTAATTTTTATTAATATTGTTAAGGATATAATGAGCACGGTTTCAGAGGTGAATACCTCTTGTAGGCTTGTGTTGTATTGCTCTTATTTTAATCTTAAACTTAAAAGTGACAAAAGTGTATAATGAGCACGGTTTCAGAGGTGAATACCTCTTGTAGGCTTGTGTTGTATTGCTCTTATTTTAATCTTAAACTTAAAAGTGACAAAAGTGACTTAACATCAGACTTAATTGATTGCAATCAGATTATTACTTTGACAGATCATTGAAGATAACGTCTGGTTTTGACACATGAACTGCTGTCAAGGACCAAGTGACATGACGTCAGACTTGATTGAAATCGTAGGACACCTTAAATGATTGCAATTAAGGACTTGAAAATAACAGCATACGCACATTGTTTTCTTTGATGATTAGACCGTTTTGGACAGTAAGTGCTTTCATGAAGTCAAATGCTACTTTGCCTCGGCTTCGACGCTGCGTCTGTTGCGCTGGGAACTTCAGCCAATCCGATTGTGTATTTCACAACGTGTAGCGCTGGATCCCCTTATTTGCATACTGAATTGCATAAATACAAAACGCTCCCTTCCTCCAGCATTCAACGTTCAATTTGTACGCTAGAATACAAGAATCATGCCTCCCAAAGTGAGCTCCAAGGGCGCCAAGAAAGCCGGTAAGGCTAAGGCCGCACGTAGTGGTGACAAGAAGAGAAGGAGGAAGAGAAAGGAAAGCTACAGTATCTACATCTACAAAGTGATGAAACAGGTGCACCCTGACACCGGTATCTCCAGCAAAGCCATGAGCATCATGAACAGCTTTGTCAATGACATCTTTGAACGTATTGCCGGTGAAGCTTCCCGCCTTGCCCACTACAACAAGCGTTCTACCATCACCAGCCGAGAGGTCCAGACTGCTGTCCGTCTCTTGCTGCCTGGTGAGCTTGCCAAGCACGCTGTCAGTGAGGGCACAAAGGCCGTCACCAAGTACACCAGCTCCAAGTAAATCAACAAGTCATTGATTTGCACAAAACGGTCCTTTTCAGGACCAACCACATCTTTCCAGAAAAGCTATACCTAATGTTAATAAAAACTAACTGGAATTATCGTGTTCGCACACGTACATGAATCCCTACACTTTGACACTGAGGAACTCGTTTTGCATTCTTCTTATTTTATTTTATTTTTTTATTTTTATTTATTTATTTATTTTTGCACACATTGCTTTTTCTCTGCTGCCATTATGGCTGTGTTTCTCAACACCTAAACCACTAAGTAAATTATCTCACACCTGTTTGAAAAGTAGAAGCAATGATGAACCTCAACACAATTTTTATTTCCAAGGCAATGAATATGAATGCTATATCTCTGTGCTGCAATGTGATTTGAAATGGGACAAGAAAATTTCATGGCCCAACGTACTGACAGAGAGAGAGAAATTCCCTTGCAGTAGCATGAGCAGAGCTAGTTGATCAGACAATATTTTTCTGCTTCACCATTTAGCATAGTGCTAACTGTACTAATTCTTAGTTACTCGCCTAAAAAAGATTCTCTTTCAACTGAAATTCTATCTCTTTCTGAAGCAAGGATCACTCGTTAATTGTCATGTATTACACTGCTGATTAATGCACACTTTACTTTTTTATTTTCATGTAGTATGTTGACATTTGCATTTAAATTAAGTGAAATCACTGTGTATCTTGGAGTATTTATTTGATTATTTGTTAACAGCAACAAGATATTGGAGCTGCTATGGTTTTAGCAAAGCACAGCACACTAGGCTAGGCAGTAAGAAAAAAGATTTTCCTCTTCTATTTGGTCCTGTTGACATTTGCGACAGATAAAAAAATAATGTTTCCGAAAATATTAATAAATAAATAAACAAATAAATAAATAAAAATCTCTCTTTAAAACAAAGTGCCTAAAAGGGATAATAAGTGTTCTTTTAAACCAAAAACTGAATTTTTCTGGAGTAAACAACAATTTTTTTATGTCAATAAGATTGATAACTCCTGTAGGTTTCAAGACAATAGGTTTATTGGTTTTCCTTGAAATGTGATACATATATATTCTAAAAAAGAAAAAAAAAACAGCATAACTTTTAAAAAAATGGACTTATCATGCCAATTTTCGAACTTAACCTGTGTTTACTGAAATTTCCTCAATTATTTAAGTTTCAAGCCAACAGGTAAAAGTTCACATGTTATCGGTGACAGGGCACAGCAACGACAGACGCAGGTGACATCAGTAAATTTTTTTGAAATCTAATTTTATAAAAGAGTCTACAGTGAAGTAAAANGAAATAAATAAATAAATAAATAAATAAGGATTGTAAGATAGTTGTTTTGTTTTACTTCTTCTCCACATGTAGGCATTTTTGGTGCCTATATTCGAGGGTTTTTGTGAAGACCCTTTTATGTGATTTAGGGCTGTTGGTAATGTCCTAGTAGTGTTTTGCTGGCACTTTTTTGCAACAGTTGTCTTTGTGTTAACAGCTCTTCCATTAGGCAGCTGTTGGCGAGTCGTTTTAGTGTTTCTTTACCCAGATGGTGAAGTCGGGTTGATATCATTTCCATTCTCGCTTTTTCATGTAGATATTCAATTTTGGTGTGCTGGGGCATTTTCAAAGCTATTCGGAGTGCTTTGTTCTGTACTTTTTGCATTTCCTTTAGTCTTGACTTGCTGGTGGTTGCGAGAATAACAGCTCCGTATTCGAGTATTGGGCGTATGAAAGTATTGTACACTCTGAGTAGGGTGGAGCTTGATGCTCCCCAGTTGGTGCCTGTCAGTCTTGCTAAGAGGTTGGTTCTTTGTCTTGCTCTAGTTGTCAGGTTTTCCACGTGTTTTTTCAGAGTCAGTTTCTGGTCGAGGGTTATGCCTAGTAGAGTGGCTTCTTTTACTTGCTTGACCTTCTCCCCAAAAAGGTGGATTTCAGGTTGTATTTCAATTTTTCTGTTGTGAAACACCACTAGTTGGGTTTTCTGTGCGTTCAGCTTGATGCGCCATAGAGAGCACCACAGCTCTAAGTCTCTTAATGCAGAGTTCAGTCTTATCTCGAGGGCTTTCGAGCTCTTGGCACTAGTCCATAGTCCAAGGTCGTCTGCAAACTGTGATGCCTCTACTTTGTTGGTTGGGTGGATGGGGAGGTCATTGACATACAGTATGAATAGGAGGGGGCTGAGTACTGATCCCTGTGGTGTTCCTGCGTTTAGTCGGACAGGATCTGAGATGCTTGTTTCTACCTTCACTTTTATCTTTCTTTCATTTAGGAAGGACGATAGTATTCTTGTTAATTTGCAAGGGAGATTGTGATGAGCCAGTTTGTATCTCAGTCCATCGTGCCACACACTGTCGAAAGCTTTTTCTACGTCCAGCAGGATGGTTCCTGTGGCCCACTTTTTCTGTATTGCTAGTTTTGCTGTCTCTACCAGTCTAAGGACATGTTCTATTCCTTCTTTTTTCTCAAGGTACGCTCTTTGCCATTTGTTAAAAGCATTGGAAGCTTTTAGCGTATTTTTAAGTCTGGTGGCTAATATTCTTTCAAGTAGTTTTCCGAGACAACTTAGAAGACTGATTGGCCTGTAGTTAGTGGTTATTTTGAGGTTTTTTCCTGGCTTCGGAAGCATGATGCCTGTAGCTTGCTTCCATTTCGTTGGAAAATATCCAATCGTCAAGCAGGTGTTAAAGATATTGCACAGTCTCATTTTCAGAGTGTGCGGTGTCATCTTGATGATGGCGTTTGTTATTTCATCTTCCCCTGGAGCGGTGTTCTTAGTTTGCTTTAGGTTTGTCTCTATTTCTTCAACGGAGATTGGTGACACTGACTCGTGCTCGTCTCCACTTTCGATGGTAGGATGGGGAAGGGGGTTGAACAGTGTGCTGTTTTTATTCACATAGTTCTCCACACATTTTTTGAAATTATCATCGAAGATGTTTCCTTCGTGTGTGTTGTGGATTTTTCCAAGGGTTGTGGCGAAGGCTTTGGCCTTTTCATCATTGTTAGTGGTCAGACTGCCGTCTTCTTTTAGCACCTGTTTTTCTCGACCGCTTTTTGTTTTTCCTGTGCCTGTGAGTGATTTGAATGTTTGCCAAAAGTTCTTGTCCATTTTTTGGCTGTTTAAACTGGATGTTGCGTTTTCCCAGGATGCTTGTTTTTCCTGGATGATGGCTGATTTTACTCGCTTAGTCATGTAATTGTACATAACTTTGTAGAAACTACCCTCTTTCTTTTGGCTAAGCCTTCTGAGTTTTCTTTTTAGCTTGATTAGCTTGAGGGTTTCGTTGCTAACCCTCCAAACATTTTCACGCACCCGTGTTTTTGGACATGCTAAGTCTAGAGCTTTGCTTAATGTGTCTGTAACGTTGTCGCATGCCTGATCTATGTTGTGTGTGTTTGTGGATATTGGTGCGACATTCAGGTTGCAATTTATTGCATTATCGAAGGCGACCGTGTTAAGTTTTCTGATGCATCTTTTCAGTATCTCTGTCTCTGTAGCGATGTTTATGTTGCTTGTTAGTTTCACATGCAAAGGAAGATGATCACTTCCTACGTCTTCGCCGACGTAGCATTCAGAGATTTTGGATAAAGTGGACTGCGTTGCGAAAGCCATGTCAAGTATGTCAGTGCTACCAAGTGGGGACATGTGCGTTGTTTCGTTCATGTCATTGAGAATTGTTAGCTCAAGATCTTCACTTATGTCAAACAATATGTGCCCATTCTCATTAAATTTTTTGCACCCGAAGTATCTGTGCTTGCTGTTAAGATCTCCCATGAACAGACAGTGGGTATATTGTTTTGTGAAGAAACTGAATACTTCTTTGCTCGGATTAGTATTTGGAGGGTTGTATATTGCAATAATAGCAGTTTTACATTTCTGTATACTGATCTCAATACTCAGCACTTCGGCTGTCAGATTGTCTGTGTTTATGTCTTGGCAAGGTAGGCCTTTTTTTTACTAAAATGGCCACGCCTCCTCCTCGTGAGTTTCTATCTTTTCTGGTCATATCATACCCTTTGAAGGATATTTTTAATTTCTCACTAAGTTTGGTCTCATTTAAGAGAACCACGTCTGGTTTGTGTTCTGATAGATATTCTACGAGGAGCTGTTTGTGTGCTCTGAGGCCATTTATATTAATATGTATTATGTGAGTCATTTTTGTTACGTAGTAGACTCTTACAGGTGGGTTGTAGCTTCTTATCTGAATGCTACATTATGAATGATTTCGCCGTCAATTCTTTCTTTATAAGTTGTAGTGACTGCTTCAGCAATGTCTTTGCATATGTCGCTTTCATTGATTTGAATTTTCAGCCTTTTAGATGTGATTTTTATGAGGGCTTTAGCCAGACAGATGGCTAGTTTGATGGCATCATTGATACTTTTTGGGTTTGCACTTTTTATTGCTTCTATTGATTGTTTCTTTTGCTCAACGATTGCTTCCTTTTGGAAGACTTTGCAGCCTTTATATGATGAGTGGTGGGCTCCTTGACAGTTGACACATTTTTTGCTGTCAGATACGCAATCTTTATAGTTGTGTTCACCACCACAGTTTTTGCAGGCTTCAGGCGATTCGCACTGTTTAGCAAGGTGGCCAAATTTTTGGCACTTGAAGCACTGAGTAAGATCTGATTTTGCTGGTGTGTAATCTAGAGCAAAGTATTTTTGGTGTGCTAGAGTTATGCCATTTTTTAGAAACTGTTGTTTCTGCTGTTGGTCATTGCATTTAACCTTGACTTTGTGAATAGCTGTGTTAGTTTGGTTGCTGTGCATGCGAAAAGCTGCAAGCTTTAGTTCATCTGAAATTTCTTTGTCAGTGACCTTTGGTGATATATTTTTTATCACAATGTACAGGTTTTCTTTGTTTTCTCGGTTTTTATTTTCTGATGTTTTTCTAATTGTTGTCCCTTTCAGGGCTCCTGAATCAACGTTTAGCTGAAGAATTTTCTCAGCTGATTTTTCGTCTTGGGCAAAAATGAGGGTGTGACCTCTTTTTGTCTTGACTGTTTTAAATATCTTAACATCATTGCCTACTACTCTACGTAGGGCTAGAGGGTTGTCAGCAATGCTGCTGGGTAGGTTTTCTAGGAGTATTGGTCTTGGTTTTGGGGATTTGGAGTACTCCTCCTTTTTAGGAGGGACTTTCGTCCATTCCTCCACTTCTCCAATACTTGTGGGGTCCTGAAAAGGGCCTCTTGACGGTGTATCCAGATGGCCCTGAGAAGGACCTTGATTGGACTTTTTTCTTGCCTTCTTAATAGTCTTCTGAGGGAGACTCTGAGCAATTTGCTCATTGTCTTCGCTCACTATAGACTTTCTTTTGTTAGATTGTGGGGCGGGCTCTGTTGGAGCTTCCTCTGACATATCAATGTCAGATTTGGGAGGTTGTTCCTCAGCTCCCTCATCTGCTTTTCTTTGTGCTCTCCCCTCTTCAAAGAGAGTTAGCCAGACACTGGCTGGGAGAGATGACAGCACTTGTCTAAGATGTTTGAGAACATCCTGGTCTATGCTTTCCTCACCCTGAGCTGGGCGAGAAGCAGCAATCGACTCCCATGTCATTTTTGTCTCGCCGCGGCGAGATGCAACTTGTTCGCCCTGAGAAGGGCGGTTTGTAGCTGAAACTGCATTTGCATAAGACATCCTTAATTATAGCAATTACACTGTAATCACTCTTTTTAAGGTTTGATATTGCTTGCTTCGCTTCTGCTTCTCTCTCTCTCTGCTTCTGCTTCTGAATCTGCTTCGAATGAATGTGCTTCTCTGAATGATTTGGGGTATATGCTCGCTTCCGCTTAATCGCCNGATTGGGCAAATCGTAGAGTTCAAACACATTTCATCTATCTTGCAACTATGTTTTTCTTAGCAAAGAGAGATCACTTTAAGAACGTTACAGAAGTTGGATCTTAATTGGTGGGAATTAATTATATTTATATTGCCAATTTTTATTTCTTTCAGAAATCCACTAAACTTGGTGATACATGCAGAAATATGTCATTCCTTCACTCTGCCTCGGATTCAATGCTGCATATTTAAAGCGCACACGTGTAGTTATACATATTCAATGACTTTTTTTAATGAAAATACATCCAATGAGGTGCGCTCAAAATAGGACAGGAATTTGGGTCATCCAATCACCAAATAGACCGCTATATTACAAATCTCTGTAGCATATACCCCAAATCATTCAAGTTATTTGAACTCGAATTCGAACAACAATGGCTCGTACCAAGCAAACTGCACGTAAATCCACTGGTGGCAAGGCCCCAAGGAAGCAGCTGGCCACCAAGGCCGCTCGTAAGAGCGCCCCCGCCACCGGTGGTGTGAAGAAACCTCACCGTTACAGGCCCGGTACCGTGGCTCTTCGTGAAATCCGTCGTTACCAGAAGAGCACAGAGCTTCTGATCCGCAAGCTCCCCTTCCAGCGCCTGGTCCGTGAAATCGCCCAGGACTTCAAAACAGACTTGAGATTCCAAAGCTCTGCTGTCATGGCCCTCCAGGAAGCTAGCGAGGCTTACTTGGTTGGTCTTTTCGAGGACACCAACCTGTGCGCCATCCACGCCAAGCGTGTGACCATCATGCCCAAGGATATCCAGCTGGCTCGCCGTATCCGCGGAGAGCGTGCTTAAATTCTGCCTTACTCTCAACAAAACGGTCCTTTTCAGGACCACTACAAATCAGAAAAGCTAAACCATTAGTGCTGACGTACGTTGTCCACCCTGAATTGTCTTCGTAGACTATAATTTCTTCTGAAATAAAGTTGATGATAAGGAAATCAATAGTTAATAATAAGAAAATCAATAGTTGATAATGCATTTGAAAGAATTGCTAATCACAATTATCCCGATGATCCCTAATCATTGTGCTAAAGAACTCGTTGTAATTAGACAATTGCTGTGTATATATGTGCGCGCTAATGAGTAGCAAAGAAGTCGGTTTTCTGGTTTGCAAAGGCATGCCAGTGTGCAGATTCTCGATTTTTAATTGTTTTACATATTGGTTCATTAGCAGTGCATTTTACATGCTTATTATATACTTAGAATTTGGTTCAAGTTTTAGTACTGCAGTATTTTAGGTCATTTACTGTAATCACTCGATCTTTTCAGTGGGGGAAAGCACCACAAAAATAAATCGAAAAAACTGCAAAGTTTTCCCCGTTGTAAAGATCAAGTCATTATACCATTTTTTTCTTTTCTTGTAATATTGTTATACTTATATTATAGGCAAAATCTCCACCAACAGTTAACATCAAGGATTGTTTAACTTTTCTTTCATCGTCAGGTGCATTTATCACATCAACTATCATCTAATTTCAAAATAACACAGTCCTGTATTTGGATATAAAACAGCACATTGGCAGTTTGGTTCCTTCATAACATGCATTTATATATTTGTTTAATAAAAAAACTAATGAAATACATTTTGCTGTATTCAACATTCATTAGATTTGAAAAGAAAATCCAAAATCTGTGAATGAATAACTTTAATACAGTGCAGGGAATATGATTCTTCACGTAAACTAACAAACTGTCCAAATTTCTAGCAATTTTATCAATTATATATTTATTTTTATCGGATATGAGCTTTTTCCGTGGAAAGGTGGAATTACAGTTTAAATATTTACAAAAACATCTTTACATTATGCATAATATACCATGATTGAATCACTACAAAATATAGGGAAAGCGATATAAAAATTAAAATTATTTAAATGACCCGGAACATACGTTACTGGTGCATATGTTACCATTTAGGGCTCCTTACATAATGTAATTTTAGACATAGTAAAAATTAAAAACTAAATTAAAATTGAGACAGTCGTGGATTTCTTTTGCCTTTGCGAAATAATGAAAAAGGANTTCCTTCATAACATGCATTTATATATTTGTTTAATAAAAAACTAATGAAATACATTTTGCTGTATTCAACATTCATTAGATTTGAAAAGAAATTCCAAAATCTGTGAATAAATAACTTTAATACAGTGCAGGGAATGTGATTCTTCACATAAACTAACAAACTGTCCAAATTTCTAGTAATTTTATCAATTATATATTTATTTTATCGGATATGAGCTTTTTCCGTGGAAAGGTGGAGTTACAGTTTAAATATTTACAAAAACATATTTACATTATGCATAATATACCATGATTGAATCACTACAAAATATAGGGAAACCGATATAAAAATTAAAATTAAATGACCTGGAACATACGTTACTGGAGCATATATGTTACCATTTAGGGCTCCTTACATTATGTAACTTTAGACATAGTAAAAATTAAAAACTAAATTAAAATTGAGACAGTCGTGGATTTCTTTTGCCTTTGCGAAATAATGAAAAAGGATTTCATAAAATTCTTTCGTTTAATAAGCTACCTAAAAGTAGCAGTACGTGTTTAAAACAGTTATCAAATTAAGCCATTTAGGGGCAGGCCCATATCATTTTACATACAACATGTATATTGAGTGCTAAAACTGCTTTTCTGCAAGAAAATGATCACTCTTTTTNAAGAAGAGAAGGAGGAAGAGAAAGGAAAGCTACAGCATCTACATCTACAAAGTGATGAAACAGGTGCACCCTGACACCGGTATCTCCAGCAAAGCCATGAGCATCATGAACAGCTTTGTCAATGACATCTTTGAGCGTATTGCCGGTGAAGCTTCCCGCCTTGCCCACTACAACAAGCGTTCCACCATCACCAGCCGAGAGGTTCAGACTGCTGTCCGTCTCTTGCTGCCCGGTGAGCTTGCTAAGCACGCTGTCAGTGAGGGCACAAAGGCCGTCACCAAGTACACCAGCTCCAAGTAAATCAGCAAGTCGGTGATTTACACAAACGGTCCTTTTCAGGACCAACCATATCTTTCCAGGAAAGCTATACCAAATGTTATTATAAGACATACACGTGATAACAAACAAGAAATGTGCATGTTCACACACGCACAAGAATCCCTACACTCTGACATAGAAGAATTCGTTTTGCATTCTACAATCTTTTATTTACACAGTATAGCATTGTCTCTGCTCTCATTGTGGGCATGTTTCTCAACATCTAAACCAATAAGTAAATTATCAGCTGTTTGAAAAGTGGAGGCCTTGATGATCCCCGGCACACAATTGAATTTGAAAGACATAATATACGTAATCTACAGTAACAAGTGGAAATATTACTTAATTGTTATGTATTACACTGCTGATTAGCACACGCTTTACTTTTTTTATTTTCACATACAATATGTTGACAAATGCATTTAAATTAGGTGAAATCACTGTGTATTCTGGAGTTTTTATTTGATTATTTGTTAGCAGCTACAGGACATTGGAGCTACTATGGTTTTAGTGGCAGATAAAATACTTTTAAAAAATTCTCTCTTAAAAATAAAGTGCCTTAAGCATGCACTTCAGCACAGTTGACAATATTATTATGAATAACATCTACAACAAGAAAGACAAATTTTAAAATCAATAAAAAGGAAATAATAGCTTTTTTTTTTTTTTTTTTTTAAAGACAATTTCACCGTGATTTTCTTCCATTCTGTTTGTACTGAATAAGATATCAAAATTTCGTTATAGATTATTTCATGGGCTCTGTCAGTTTACTTAACTTTGCTAAGACAGAATTAGATTTCACAATAACAGCATTATCAATTAATTAATGATTGTTTAGTTGGTGAAAATTAAGTGAAATCTTGTCTCCTCTCCTTGAAATGGACCGTGTTTGATTGCTTAATGATTGCATTGAACGATTTGTTAAACGAAATCAATTCTGTTATAAGGTAGTCAATGGTTTTGTCAAGAATAGTAGTAGCTTAGAGGCTTGAAATCTCAGGATGTTCTCTTTTATGTTGAGTTTGTTTTGCGACAGGTAAGAGTCTACTTTTAATAGATAGATTCACCCTACCCAGGGCGATTTATTATCTGTTGTAAGTGGTTACCTTAGCACTTATTGCTGATGACGATCCATTGTACCCAGCTCAATTTGCTGACATAGCATGAAGCTGACTGGATTGGGATTAGGCCACCTTAAGCTCTAGATTTCGGTATTGCCGGCTTGTTTTCATATATATGCTTTGCTTTATTCATTGCATCGTATGCATCTACATCATGGTAGATGAAAATGTACTATAGGAATGCAATTATAAATAAATATCAATTATTTTACATAGTGATATAGTATGACTACTTGTAAGAAAAAAAGCAAAACATATTTGGCAGAGCCTAAGTGGCCATATATGTTCATTCTTCTAACCAGTCATTAGTGTTATAAATTTATCCATTCTGGTAAGATGCTCAAAGTTACTATATTGTCTTTTGTACAGTGAATAAAGATCATATCGGAGATCTGCATAAAGAGGGCAAGACACTAGGAAATGGATTTCATCTTCTATTTTCCCAGAATCACACTTTTTGCAAATTCTCTCTGCTTGAGAAATTCTTTCATGTCTACCTGTTTCCATACCTATAGGTTGTGTGCACTTATGCGGAATCGAGTTAAAGTGGTGTATTTATCTCTATCTTTAATTGTATCTAAGCTATCTTTCCTTCACATATTTGTTCTTGTATTGACAATAAAATTGCAATTTGGACTTGGTGTTGGTTATTTCTCTCTCTCTCTCTCTGTCATTCTTGTGTTATTCTGTCCCTGAATCTTTCCCTAAACTTCTGGATAGAGTTTTTATCACATCTTTGGTCTAGTATGTACACCTAGAAGTTCGTTGCAAAAGCGTAAGTTGATTTTTTTCTACGGGAGATCTGTCAGTGATCATTGAAAAGCCGTATCGAGAGTATGAAATAGTACTTTTTTCTTTTATTGATGACGACAGTCTAGTAGAAAGTGGCTTACAGCTTTTCAGACCAAAAAGAGCTTTCTGTGCAGTATATAGCCCACATCAGCAATACCGCACTGTAAAGCCAACACACGAAAAGGTATAGTGAGCAAGCTATCTTTACTGTACTTTCTCTCAGGGTAGATTAGGCATCTGTGTACATTGTTGCTATTACACGGGGGACTTGTTCGCCTAAAACTTTGAATTTATTTTGAAACGATTAAAAGGCGTATGTAAAATAATGAGTTAAACAGACGCACAAGCTATAGGTTCCAATATAATAGGTTTTGTTTTTATTCGGGGATGCTCATATAGTGGCCAGCAGACGTCTAATAATTCGACCTTATTGGCATAGCTTTTCATTGATATTTGTTGGTCCTGAAAAGGACCGTTTGTTTGTCTCAATGAGAAGTTTGCTTAACCGCCGAATCCGTACAGAGTGCGGCCTTGACGTTTCAAAGCATAGACGACATCCATGGCGGTGACGGTCTTCCTCTTGGCGTGCTCGGTGTAGGTGACTGCGTCACGGATGACATTCTCGAGGAACACCTTCAAGACACCACGGGTCTCTTCGTAGATGAGTCCAGAGATACGCTTGACACCACCACGGCGTGCTAAACGACGGATGGCTGGCTTGGTGATACCCTGGATGTTGTCACGCAAAACTTTGCGATGACGCTTGGCGCCTCCCTTTCCCAATCCCTTTCCTCCTTTACCACGTCCAGACATGTTGATCGAATATTCTGTTAGCAATGAAAAATATGTTTAATCGCCTTGAATATAAGTTCGTCGGCGTAGCCGACAGGGAAGTTACGAAGTCCGAAGGCTTGTGACCACGGCTTCTTTCAACCCTCTTACTTGCCTTTGGGACGCTGGTGAGGAAATAAATAAATAAATAAATAAGGATTGTAAGATAGCTGTTTTGTTTTACTTCTTCTCCACATGTAGGCATTTTTGGTGCCTATATTCGAGGGTTTTTGTGAAGACCCTTATATGTAATTTAGGGCTGTTGGTAATGTCCTAGTAGTGTTTTGCTGGCACTTTTTTGCAACAGTTGTCTTTGTGTTAACAGCTCTTCCATTAGGCAGCTGTTGGCGAGTCGTTTTAGTGTTTCTTTACCCAGATGGTGAAGTCGGGTTGATATCATTTCCATTCTCGCTTTTTCATGTAGATATTCAATTTTGGTGTGCTGGGGCATTTTCAAAGGTATTCGGAGTGCTTTGTTCTGTACTTTTTGCATTTCTTTTAGTCTTGACTTGCTGGTGGTTGCGAGAATAACAGCTCCGTATTCGAGTATTGGGCGTATGAAAGTATTGTACACTCTGAGCAGGGTGGAGCTTGATGCTCCCCAGTTGGTGCCTCTCAGTCTTGCTAAGAGGTTGGTTCTTTGTCTTGCTCTAGTTGTCAGGTTTTCCACGTGTTTTTTCAGAGTCAGTTTCTGGTCGAGGGTATGCCTAGTAGAGTGGCTTCTTTTACTTGCTTGACCTTCTCCCCAAAAAGGTGGATTTCAGGTTGTATTTCAATTTTTCTGTTGTAAAACACCACTAGTTGAGTTTTCTGTGCGTTCAGCTTGATACGCTGCAGAGAGCACCACAGCTCTAAGTCTCTTAATGCAGAGTTCAGTCTTATCTCGAGGGCTTTCGAGCTCTTGGCACTAGTCCATAGTCCAAGGTCGTCTGCAAATTGTGAGGCTTCTACTTTGTTGGCTGGGTGGATGGGGAGGTCATTGACATATAGTATGAATAGGAGGGGGCTGAGGACTGATCCCTGTGGTGTTCCTGCGTTTAGTCGGACAGGATCTGAGATACTCGTTTCTACCTTCACTTTTATCTTTCTTTCATTTAGGAAGGATGATAGTATTCTTGTTAATTTGCAAGGTAGATTGTGATGAGCCAATTTGTATCTCAGTCCATCGTGCCACACACTGTCGAAAGCTTTTTCTACGTCCAGCAGGATGGTTCCTGTGGCCCACTTTTTCTGTATTGCTAGTTTTGCTGTCTCTACCAGTCTAAGGACATGTTCTATTCCTTCTTTTTCCTCAAGGTACGCTCTTTGCCATTTGTTAAAGGCATTGGAAGCTTTTAGCGTATTTTTCAGTCTGGTGGCTAAGATTCTTTCAAGTAGTTTTCCGAGACAACTTAGATGACTGATTGGCCTGTAGTTAGTGGTTATTTTGAGGTTTTTTCCTGGCTTCGGAAGCATGATGCCTGTAGCTTGCTTCCATTTTGTTGGAAAATATCCAATCGTCAAGCAGGCGTTAAAGATATTGCACAGTCTCATTTTCAGAGTGTGCGGTGTCATCTTGATGATGGCGTTTGTTATTTCATCTTCCCCTGGAGCGGTTTTCAGGACCCCACAAGTAATGGAGAAGTGGAGGAATGGACGAAAGTCCCTCCTAAAAAGGAGAAGTACTCCAAATCCCCAAAACCAAGACCAATACTACTAGAAAACCTACCCAGCAGCATTGCTGACAACCCTCTAGCCCTACGTAGAGTAGTAGGCAATGATGTTAAGATATTCAAAACAGTCAAGACAAAAAGAGGTCACACCCTCATCTTTGCCCAAGACGAAAAATCAGCTGAGAAAATTCTTCAGCTAAACGTTAATTCAGGGGCCCTGAAAGGGACAACAATAAGAAAAACATCAGAAAATAAAAACCGAGAAAACAAAGAAAACCTGTTCATTGTGATTAAAAATATATCACCAAAGGTCACTGACAAAGAAATTTCAGATGAACTAAAGCTTGCAGCTTTTCGCATGCACAGCAACCAAACTAATAAAGCTATACACAAAGTCAAGGTTAAATGCAATGACCAACAGCAGAAACAACAGTTTCTAAAAAATGGCATAACTCTAGCACACCAAAAATACTTTGCTCTAGATTACACACCAGCAAAATCAGATCTTACTCAGTGCTTCAAGTGCCAAAAATTTGGCCACCTTGCTAAACAGTGCGAATCACCTGAAGCCTGCAAAAACTGTGGTGGTGAGCACAACTATAAAGATTGCGTATCTGACAGCAAAAAATGTGTCAACTGTCAAGGAGCCCACCACTCATCATATAAAGGCTGCAAAGTCTTCCAAAAGGAAGCAATCGTTGAGCAAAAGAAACAATCAAAAGAAGCAATAAAAAGTGCAAACCCAAAAAGTGTCAATGATGCCATCAAACTAGCCATCTGTCTGGCTAAAGCCCTCATGAAAATCACATCTAAAAGACTGAAAATTCAAATCAATGAAAGTGACATATGCAAAGACATTGCTGAAGCAGTCACTTCAACTTATAAAGAAAAAATTGACGGCGAAAATTATTCATAGCGTGGCTTTCAAGTAAGAAATAATAACAACAAAGAAAGCGAACTTCTAAGAAAACAATGATGACTCACATAATTCATATCAATATAAATGGCCTCAGAGCACACAAACAGCTCCTCGTAGAATACTTATCAGAACACAAACCAGACGTGGTTCTCTTAAATGAGACCAAACTTAGTGAGAAATCAAAAATATCCTTCAAAGGGTATGATATGACCAGAAAAGATAGAAACTCACGAGGAGGAGGCGTGGCCATTTTAGTAAAAAAGGCCTACCTTGCCAAGACATAAAAACAGACAATCTGACAGCCGAAGTGCTGAGTATTCAGATCAGTATACAGAAATGTAAAACTGCTATTGTCGAAATATACAACCCTCCAAATACTAATCCAAGCAAAGAAGTATTCAGTTTCTTCACAAAACAATATACCCACTGTCTGTTCATGGGAGATCTTAACAGCAAGCACAGATACTTCGGGTGCAAAAAATTTAACGAGAATGGGCACATATTGTTTGACATAAGTGAAGATCTTGAGCTAACAATTCTCAATGACATGAACGAAACAACGCACATGTCCCCACTTGGTAGCACTGACATACTTGACATGGCTTTCGCAACGCAGCCCACTTTATCCAAAATCTCTGAATGCTACGTCGGCGAAGACGTAGGAAGTGATCATCTTCCTTTGCATGTGAAACTAACAAGCAACATAAACATCGCTACAGAGACAGAGATACTGAAAAGATGCATCAGAAAACTTAACACGGTCGCCTTCGATAATGCAATAAATTACAACCTGAATGTCGCACCAATATCCACAAACATACACAACATAGATCAGGCGTGCGACAACGTTACTGACACATTAAGCAAAGCTCTAGACTTAGCATGTCCAAAAACACGGGTGCGTGAAAATGTTTGGAGGGTTAGCAACGAAACCCTCAAGCTAATCAAGCTAGAAAGAAAACTCAGAAGACTTAGCCAAAAGAAAGAGGGTAGTTTCTACAAAGTTATGTACAATTACATGACTAAGCGAGTAAAATCAGCCATCATCCAGGAAAAACAAGCATCCTGGGAAAACGCAACATCCAGTTTAAACAGCCAAAAAATGGACAAAAACTTTTGGCAAACATTCAAATCACTCACAGGCACAGGAAGAACAAAAAAAAGCGGTCGAGAAAAACAGGTGCTAAAAGAAGACGGCAGTCTGACCACTAACAATGATGAAAAGGCCAAAGCCTTCGCCACAACCCTTGGAAAAATCCACAACACACACGAAGGAAACATCTTCGATGATAATTTCAAAAAATGTGTGGAGAACTATGTGAATAAAAACAGCACACTGTTCAACCCCCTTCCCCATCCTACCATCGAAAGTGGAGACGAGCACGAGTCAGTGTCACCAATCTCCGTTGAAGAAATAGAGACGAACCTAAAGCAAACTAAGAACACCGCTCCAGGGGAAGATGAAATAACAAACGCCATCATCAAGATGACACCGCTTAATCGCCTTGAATATAAGTTCGTCGGCGTAGCCGACAGGGAAGTTACGAAGTCCGAGGTCTTGTGACCACGGCTTCTTTCAACCCTCTTACTTGCCTTTGGGACGCTGGTGAGGAAATAAATAAATAAATAAATAAATAAATAAATAAATAAATAAGGATTGTAAGATAGCTGTTTTGTTTTACTTCTTCTCCACATGTAGGCATTTTTGGTGCCTATATTCGAGGGTTTTTGTGAAGACCCTTATATGTAATTTAGGGCTGTTGGTAATGTCCTAGTAGTGTTTTGCTGGCACTTTTTTGCAACAGTTGTCTTTGTGTTAACAGCTCTTCCATTAGGCAGCTGTTGGCGAGTCGTTTTAGTGTTTCTTTACCCAGATGGTGAAGTCGGGTTGATATCATTTCCATTCTCGCTTTTTCATGTAGATATTCAATTTTGGTGTGCTGGGGCATTTTCAAAGCTATTCGGAGTGCTTTGTTCTGTACTTTTTGCATTTCCTTTAGTCTTGACTTGCTGGTGGTTGCGAGAATAACAGCTCCGTATTCGAGTATTGGGCGTATGAAAGTATTGTACACTCTGAGCAGGGTGGAGCTTGATGCTCCCCAGTTGGTGCCTCTCAGTCTTGCTAAGAGGTTGGTTCTTTGTCTTGCTCTAGTTGTCAGGTTTTCCACGTGTTTTTTCAGAGTCAGTTTCTGGTCGAGGGTTATGCCTAGTAGAGTGGCTTCTTTTACTTGCTTGACCTTCTCCCCAAAAAGGTGGATTTCAGGTTGTATTTCAATTTTTCTGTTGTGAAACACCACTAGTTGAGTTTTCTGTGCGTTCAGCTTGATGCGCCATAGAGAGCACCACAGCTCTAAGTCTCTTAATGCAGAGTTCAGTCTTATCTCGAGGGCTTTCGAGCTCTTGGCACTAGTCCATAGTCCAAGGTCGTCTGCAAACTGTGATGCCTCTACTTTGTTGGTTGGGTGGATGGGGAGGTCATTCACATAAATTATGAAGAGGAGAGGGCTGAGAACTGACCCTTGCGGTGTGCCTGCATTCAGCTTGACTGGTTTGGAGACAGTTGTTCCCACTCTAACTTTTATTGCTCTTTCATTGAGAAAAGAAGACAATAGTCGCACGAGTTTGTTTGGAATGTTGTAGTGCCCAAGTTTGTACTTCAGTCCATCATGCCACACGCTGTCAAAGGCTTTTTCCACATCTAGTAAGATTGTACCTGTGGCCCACTTTTTATTCATGGCTAGTTGTGCTGTTTCCACTAGTCTGACTACGTGTTCAATTCCTTCTTTTTTTTCCAAGTAGGCTCTCTGCCACTTATTGAAGGAGTTGTTTTCTTTTATTTTATTCTTTAATCTAGTTGCAATAATTCTTTCAAATAATTTGCCAATGCAGCTGAGAAGGCTGATTGGTCTGTAGTTGGTGGTAATGCTGGGGTCTTTGTTCGGTTTTGGCAGCATGATGCCCGTGGCTTGTTTCCATTCAGTGGGGAAGTACCCAATCGCTAGACAGGAATTGTATATCTCACAGAGTCTGTTTTTTAGTGATTGTGGTGAGATTTTGATGATGTTGTTAGTGATTTCATCTTCTCCTGGAGCTGAATTTTTTGTTTTTTTGAGGTTGCTCTCTATTTCAGCAATTGTGATTTCCGCCACTGATTCGTGTTCGTCACCTTCTTCAGTTGTGTGGTTTTGAAGGATATTGTACAAAGTGTGGTGATCTGATACATATTTTTCAACGCTTTTTTTAAAGTTGTCATCGAATATGTTGCCTTCATGTGTATTGTGTATTTTGCTAAGGGTAGTGGCAAAAGCATTAGCCTTTTCGGAGTCGTTTGTTGTTTTTTCACCGTTTTCTTTCACGACAGGTTTTTTGTTGGTTTCATTAGCTTTGCCAGTCCCGGTAAGGCGTTTAAATGAGTTCCAAAAAGTTTTGTCCATATTTCTATTATTTAGATCAGAGGTGATTTTTTCCCAAGCTTCTCTTTTTTCTTTTTGTATCGCTTCTTTCACCTTTTTGTTGGTATAATTGTACAGTGTTCTGTAAAGGCTTCCCTCTTTCTTTTGTGCTAGTCTTCTCATTTTTCTTTTTAATTTGATTAGTTTCATTGTTTTTTCGCTAACTCTCCAAGCATGTTCAAGTACTTTTGCTTTAGGGCATGATAAGTCTAGTGCTTCTGTTATTGTCTTTCTGATGTTATTGCATGCTTTATCGATGCCTTCCTTGGAAGAAGCGACTGGACAAGTGTCCAACATCTTGTTTATGTGAGTTGAGAATTTTTCTGAGTCTAGATTGTTGTAGTTTCTGCGTAGCACAGAGGGTACTTGTGATATACTCTGGCTGGAGGTCAGTTTAATATGTAGTGGGAGATGGTCGCTGCCGATGTCGTCTCCAACAAGGCAGTCTGTAATTTTGTTTAGACATGGAGTTGTAGCGAATGCCATGTCTAAGATATCCGTGCCTCCATTTGCATTTATGTGAGTAGTTTCTGCTGGATCGTTTAGAATATTTAGCTCAAGTTCTTCTGTAATGTTAAAGAGGACATGGCCATTTTCATTTGTGCGTTTGCAGCCGTAGTAGGCGTGTTTGCTATTGAGATCACCTATGAATATACAGTGTTTGTATTGGTTGGTGAAGTGCTTGAATGTCTTGCATTCAGGTGCGATATTAGGTGGGTTGTACATCGCTATAATTGCTATCAAGTTGTTATTGTTGTAGGTTTCTATACCCAGCGTTTCGGTTAGCAAGTTGGTGGTTGTGATTGGCGTGTATTCGATGCCTTTTTTTATCAGCATGGCTACCCCCCCTCCGTGGGGGGTTCGGTCGCGTCGGATGATGTCATATCCGCTAAATCTTATTTTAGCTTTGTCTGATAGTTTTGTTTCATTGATACATATTATGTCGGGTTTGTGCTCCCCGATGTATTCAGTGAGTAGCTGTTGTTTTGCCCTAAGGCCGTTTATATTTATATGCATAAGATGTCTAGCCATGGTGAGTTACATTGAATATTTTTTTTTTTTTTTTTTT